GGGTTCTCTGGAGGGATTTGGGGAGTCCCTTGGAGGGGATTGAGGGTTTAGGGGGAGTGAGAGGGTCCTTGGCGGGGGGGGTGGGGGGTGGGTGTTGGAGACTCCCCAAGGGGATTGGGGGGGTCCCTGGGGTGGATTAGGGGGTCCCCAGAGGGGTTGTGGGGGGGGGGCCCTGGGATAGTTTAGGGAGATACTGGGATAATTTGGGGGGTCCCCGGGAGGGTTTGGGGGATTCGGGGGGACCGTGGGGGTCCCCGGGGGGGCTGGAGACACCCCCGGGGATTTGGGGGGGGTCACTGGGGTGATTTGGGGGGGTCCCCTCGTGGGGCTTGGGGGGATTCAGGGGGGTTGAGGAAGTCCCGGGAAGGTATGGGGGGGTCCTTCGGGGGTTAGGGGGGTCCCTGGGGTGGTTTAAGGGGTCCCAAGGGGGATTTGGGGGGGTCCTTCGAAGGGTTTTGGGGGGGTTCTGGGGTGCTGAGGGGGCCCTCGGATGGGTTTTTGGGGGGGGGTCCCTGGGGGGATTGGGGAGTCGTTGGGGTAGTTTAGGGGGGTACTGGGATGATTTGGGGGGGTCCCCTGGAGGGATTTGGGGGCTTCAGGCCTGTTAAGGGGGTCCCTGGGAGGGGTGGAGGGTCCCGGGGTGATTTGGGGGATCCCTGGAGCATTTTGGGGGGGTCCCTGAGGGGTTTAGGGGTCACCTGACATGTTTGGGGGGGTGATTTGGGGGATCCCTGGAGCACTTTGGGGGCCCCAAGGGGGTTTAGGGGCACCCCAGGGAGCCCTGGGGGTTCCTCGAGTGGTTTGGGGGAACCCCACGGTGTTTTGGGGTCCCCAGGGTGGAATGTTGTATTCTGGGGGGGGGGGGGGGGGGGGCAAAGGGGGGAAGAGAAAAGCACCAGGAGAGAAAACAATTTCTTTCCCCTATTTTATTTTTTTTTTTTTCCGTTCCTTTATGCCGGAAGGAGCCGGGGAGCTGCAGCAAACTGGGGGAAGAAACGAGGCTTTTGGGTCTGTCGTGAAGGAATCATCCCCCTGTATTACCCTGAACCCCCCCGCCCCACCCCGCTGCCGCAATCCCCCCAGGATTCTTCAGGTGGGACCTCCCCAAAATCACCCAGAACCCCCTGGGGTTCCCCGTCACATCCCCACCAGCACCTCGATCCCTTGAAGATGCTCCAGTTGGGAACCCCCAAAATCCTGACACCCCAACACCAACCCAACCCCAACCCAACCCAACCCCAACCCAACCCCAACCCAACCCCAACCCAACCCCAACCCCAACCCCAACCCAACCCCAACCCAACCCCAACCCCAACCCAACCCAACCCAACCCCAACCCAACCCAACCCAACGCCAACCCCAACCCCAACCCAACCCCAACCCCAACCTCAACCCAACCCCAACCCCAACCCAACCCAACCCCAACCCAACCCAACCCCAACCCATCCCAACCCCAACCCAACCCCAACCCCAACCCCAACCCAACCCCAACCCCAACCCCAACCCAACCCAACCCCCAACCCAACCCAACTCCAACCCCAACCCAACCCAACCCCAACCCCAACCCCAACCCCAACCCAACCCCAACCCCAACCCCAACCCAACCCAACCCCCAACCCAACCCAACCCCAACCCCAACCCAACCCCAACCCCAACCCCAACCCAACCCCAACCCAACCCCAACCCAACCCCAACCCAACCCCAACCCCAACCCCAACCCAACCCCAACCCAACCCCAACCCAACCCCCAACCCCAACCCCAACCCAACCCCCAACCCCAACCCCAACCCAACCCCCAACCCCAACCCAACCCCCAACCCCAACCCCAACCCCAACCCCAACCCAATCCAACCCCAAACTCATAAAAACTTTAATTAAAAGGTGAAAAAATTCAATGTGGAACAGATGGGGTGGGACAGGGAGAGGGTTGAAAAGGGGGGGTGCACAGAAAAATTGCAAAAAGGGGTTGCAAAACGGGGTGCAACAAGGGCGGGGGTGTGAGGGGGAGGTGCAGGATGTGGTGTAAATTTGAGTGCAAAAATTGGGTGCGGGAGGAGGGTGGGAAAAGGGGGTTGCAGGAACAGGGTGTAAAATAGGGGTTCAAAAAGAGGGGTGAAGGAAAGAGGTGCAAAAAGGGGGGGGTCAAAAAGGGGTGTGTGTGTGCGTTAGCATGTATTTGCATATATTAGCATGTCTGAAGTGGGGCAGCAGATGGCAGCAGCGACACGAGGGTGGAAAAATGGTGGCAGGAGGGACACCCCCCCCCCCCCCCAAAAAAAGGACTCAGGATCACAGGGACAGCCCCCCCCTCCCTCAGCACTTACCTCCCAGTCCAACCCGTACAACCCTCACCAGTAACATCCTGACCAACCCCATCATGGCTGCAAAGCAAAGCGGGGGTCATGGGCGCCCCCAGATTCCTGGGTTATTCCTCCCTCCTTCTGCATCTCTAATTTGGAATTATTGCTCCGTTTGCAGCGGCTTTCATTCTTTTTTTTTTTTTTTTTTTTTCTTCCCTTTTTTTTTGCATTTCCACCGGGTTTAATCATTGCACCGTTTGCAGTAGCACTGGGGCCTGTTTTTTCCTCCCTCCTTTTGCATCTGCATCACTTTTAATTATTGCACTCTTTGCATTTGCACCCAGACTGGATTATTTCCCCCCATTTTTGCATTTGCTCCAAGATTACTCATTGCACTGTTTGCTTTTGCATGAAGTTTAATTATTTCTCCCATTTTTTTGCATTTGCACTGGGTTAAACCATTGCACTGTTTGCAGTTGCACTCAGACCGGATTATTTCTCTTCTTTTTTTGCATTTTCGTCTGGTTTAATCATTGTCCCATTCGCATTTGCCCTTGCGTCACATTTTTTTCCCCAGCTTTTGCATCTACATAATTTAAATTTATTGCACCATTTGCATCGAATTTAATTACTTCTCTCCTTTTTTTTTCACTGGCACTGGGTTAAATCATTGCACCGTTTGCATTTCCACGCAGCCTGGATTATTTCTCCCGATTTTTGTATTTGCACTGAGATTACGCATTGCACTCTTTGCTTTTGCATGAAGTTTAATTATGTCTGGGTTTTTTTTTGCATTTGCACCGAGTTAAATCATTGCACAGTTTGCAATTGCACTTGGGCCTGGTTATTGCTCCCTCCTTTTCCATCTGCATCATTTCTAATTATTGCACTGTTTGCATTTGCACCAAAACTGGATTATTTCTCCCCCATTTTTGCATTTTCACCGCGATTAATCATTGCACTGTTTGCATTTGCATGGAGTTTAATTATTTCTCTCATTTTTTTTGTATTTGCAGCGGGTTAAACAATTGCACCATTTGTATTTGCACTCGGACTGGATTATTTCTCTCCTTTTCTGCATTTTCTTTGGGTTTAATCATTGCCCCGTTTGCATTTGCCCTCGGGCCAAGTTTTTCCCCCCACCTTTTGCATCTACATTATTTTAAATTATTGCACTATGTGCATCGAATTTAATTATTTGTCTCCGTTTTTTTGGTTTTTTGGTTTTTTTTCATTTAAACGGTGTTAAATCATTGCACCATTTGCAGTTGCACTCAGCCTGGATTATTTCTCTCCTTTTTTTTGCATTTTCTTCTGCTTTAACCATTGCATAATTTGCAGTTGCACTTGGGCCTGGTTCTTCCTCCCTCCTTTTGCATCTGCATCATTTCTAATTCTTGCACTGTTTGCATTTGCACCCCAACTAGATTATTTCTCGCCCCTTTTTGCATTTGCACCGAGATTACTCATTGCTCTGTTTGCTTTTTCATGAAGTTTAATTTTTTCTCTTCATTATTTTTGCATTTGCAGCTGGTTTAATCATCGCACCGTTTGCACTCAGAGTGTTTATTCCTCCCTCCTTTTGCATCTGCATCATTCTTAATTATTGCACCTTTTGCATCGGATTTAATTATTTCTCTCTTTTTTTTTTTTTTTTTTTTTTTTTTTTTTTTTTTTTTTTTTTTTTTGCATTTGCACCGGGTTAAACCATCCCCCCGTTTGCAGTTGCACTCCGGCTGGATTATTCCTCCCCCTCTCTCCATCCCCTCTCTCTGACCTGGGCCAATCACCCTCCACCTCCTCCCCCCCCCCATAAATTTCAAACAAACCCCAGCAGAATCCTGCCGGGATCCGGGTTCCTTATCGGGGGGGGGGGGGGGGGGGGGGGGCGGAAATTAAAAAATAAATAAGAGCAGTTTTGCTTTTCGCGGGGGAAGCCGTTTGCAGATTGCGAAAGGTTCGGGAGGGGATTAACCCCGGGAGGGGGCGGGGGGGGGGGGAGCGGGGGGGGGGTAGGATTTTGCTTTTTGCAGAGCGCAGCCGAGGGGTTTGCAAACTGCGGCCTGTCCCGCTCGCAGTCGGCAATGGCTTGGGGCGAAAAAATTGTAAAAAAAAAAAAAAAAAAAAAAAAGAAAAAAATTAGGAAATGGAGTGAGATAGTGAAGGCGCGGGGGGGGGGGGGGGGGGGAGGGGGGAGTGTTTCCTTCAGCTCCGCTCGCCGCATCTCGGGTTGCAAAAACCAAGCGGGGGCCCCGCCAGCTGCGCTCGCCTTTCGGGGAAATTCGGAGCTCCGAATTTGTTCCAAATATTTGAATTTGTTCCAAATTTTTTTTTAAACTATATTTTTTTTTCCATTTTTTTTTTTTTTAAGCGGGGGGCAGTGTGTTTCGCTTTGCTTTGCTTTTTTTTTTTTTTAATTTTTTTCTTTTTTTTTTTTTTTTTTTTTCCCCCCCCCATCATGGCGACAGCAGAGACGTGGCCGCCCCCTCCCAACCCCCGGGGGAGGGAGACACCTCAGATTTCTGTTCCCCCCCGAGGTAAATAAAAAAAGCAAAACGTTTTTTCTCGCCGTTTTCTCCCCCCCTGCCCCCCCCCCCCCGGGATTTTGCACACTCGGGGCCGGAAGGGCGGGAAGGAGCCGGGGGGGGGGGGTTGGGCTTTGGGGTGCGGGAGGCCGCGCTGGGGTGTGCGCCGTCCCTCGCCGTGGGTCGCGATTCCCCTCGCCGTGGGTCGCGATTCCCCTCGCCGTGGGTCACGATTCCCCTCTCTGGGTCATGATTCCCCTCTCCGTGGGTCACGATTCCCCTCGCCGTGGGTCGCGATTCCCCTCTCCGTGGGTCACGATTCCCCTCGCCGTGGGTCGCGATTCCCCTCTCCGTGGGTCACGATTCCCCTCGCCGTGGGTCACGATTCCCCTCTCCGTGGGTCACGATTCCCCTCTCCGTGGGTCTCAGTGCCCCTCATTTCACCTCGCAGTGACCGCACCATCCCCCCGGACCTTTTTTCCGGCTCCTCTTTCGGGCCTTGACCCCCCCCCCCAGGGCCCCCCAAGTCATCTCCCCCCCCCCCCCCGGGGGGCCCCTCCCCCTCTTCCCCGGCACCCCCCGAAAATTTTCACCTGGAAATTGGAACTCGGGGCGTTGCCTCCGCCCATTTTTTAATTTTTTGTTGTTGTTGTTGTTCAAAAAAAGTCAATTTCCTCACCCCTGCCCTGGATTCATCCCTGCCCCCTCCTAGAACAGACACCTGGGATGGCGGAGAAAACATTTTTCCCAGGAAATCAAGAACCTCCGACCCCTCGCTAATATTTGGGCCAAAAAAGAGCAAATTCAATCTTCTGCTCGGGGACGCCGTCCAAAAGTGGCCAGTGATTAATGACCTGGAATTCCTGATGGATTCTGTTGGATTTCTGGAGAATTTGGTGCTCTGGGGACGCTCAGAAGTGTTCAGCGTTTCTGACGCAGGTGCCGAGAGGCCGGAATTAAGCGATTTATAACATTTTGTCTTTTATTTTTTAACCATTTTGGGTTTGTTTGGATTTGTTGGGGATAATTTAGAAATTCCGGGGGGATTTTCTTGAATTGCTTTAGAATTTTGCTTGAATTGATTTGGGATTTTGCTTGAATTGTCTTGGAATTTTGCTTTTAGTGCTTTGGGATTTTGCTTTTATTGCTTTGGGATTTTGCTTGATTTGCTTTGGAATGTTCCTTGAATTACTTTGGAATTTTGCTTTTATTGTTTTGGAATTTTCCTTGAATTACTTTGGAATTTTGCTTTTATTGCTTTGGGGTTTTGCTTGATTTGCTTTGGGATTTTGCTTGAATTGCTTTGGGTTTTGTTTGAATTGCTTGGGGACTTGCTCGAATCCCTTGGGGATAATTCACAAATATTTTGGGGTTTTTTCCACGATCTCTTTGGGATTTGTTATAAATGTTTTGAGAAAACGTCTAACTACTTTGGAATATTTTATAATTCATTTGAGATACTTTGGAGGTTTTTATACATACTTCCAGGGGGTTTATAATTGCTTTGGGGTTTGTTAAAATTGCTCTGGGATTTATTCTAATTAATTACATTGAGGGTTCAGTCTCATTAAGCCCTTCAGGACACTTCTCCGCGCTCTGATTGTGTCGCTGTTGCACAAACCCCAGAATTATTGTGGGTTTCTTGACTCGAGTGAATTTTTTTTCCTGCTGACTTGATGGAAGGAAAGATTTTGGTGGAAATAGATTGATTTTGTATGGACTTCACGGGAAACAGCTGTGTGTGGTTTTGTTTTTTTTTTATGTTTCAAAAACAAGAATATTGAAGGATCATTAAAAATCCCTCCCAGAGAGAGGGACAGTGGGTGCATGCAGACGTGTGCATGTGGCTGCTGCCAACTCAAGCAAGTTTCTGGCTTCAAAAACCCCGCAATTTTATTTATCAAGCAGCCAATCCTCCTTTTTTTTTTTTTTTTTATTCCCCCCCCTCCAACCTGTCCATTATTCTCTATTTGCTTTTATTCTCTCAGGGCGCCGCCGTCGCCCCATGTGCTGTAACACAAGAGCCGACGTTGTGTTTGCGTCGCCTCTGACAAGGTCTTTCCCCCACGGTAATTCCTCTGTGCTCCCACATTGCGAATAATTTGGGGGGTTTCGCCACGGGGAATATGTTGGGATGTTTCCCCACGGAAAACTGAGGTGTTTCGCCGTGGGAGAGGGGGTGGGTGGGGTGTTTGACCGTGAGAGACACGTTGGGTCAGTTGTTTCCCTGTGGGAAGATGCTGTGGGTGGGTATTTTCGCTGTGGGAAGACTTTTTGAGTGGGTTTCACCATGGGGAGACATGTTAGGTGGGTTGTTTCGCCATGGGGAGACACGTTGGGTGGGTTTTTTTCCCTGGGGGAAGACAACTTGAGTGGGTTGTTTCAGCATGGGGACACATGTTGGATGGTTTCCCCATGGGGAGAGACTTTGAGTGGGTTTTTCACCATGAGGAGACACGTTGAGTGGGTTGTTTCGCCATAGGAAGACACTTTGGGCGTTTTTTTTTCCCCATGGGAAGACACTTCAAGTGGGTTGTCTCCCTGTGGGAAGACACGTTGAGTGGGTTGATTCCCTGTAGGAAGACACTTCAGGTGGGTTGTTTCACCATGGGAAATAGGTGGGCACCTCATGGGGGTGTTTCCCCACCAACAGTGGGAACAGGGAAGACAAATCTTATTTTCCCCCCTACCCTAGAATTTACAAAACAAAACAAAAGAAGACCCCATAAACCCACAAGAAAAAAACTTTGTAAAAAGGGTTTATTGATTTACCCAACAGCAGGCAGCATTATACTGGAAACATTCAGTAGGACTAGTGCATTTCTGGGGAAAAATGGCTGGGATTTGGGACTGTTGATCTCAAATTTATGTTTAATTTGGCTCGAGGTGTTTATCTCGCTTTCCTTCAGGCCATTCCAGTGCAGATGGATCATCTCAGCTTCGGGCTCTACCTGACATAGATCAGGTCATTAAAATACCCCATTTTTCTCACCAATTTGAGGCCAGATCAAGCATTTATCTTGGTGGTTTTTTGGTTTTTTTTTGAAGGTCTTTGAGGCCGCGAGACCTGCTGCTGCAGATGCCCATCAGAGATCAGCGCTGGTTTTCCTTCCGCGCTTGCAGAAACTCAGCGTGAGGTTGGTGCCTCTGGAGGCGTGGAAACCTCTGCAGGAGTATTTACAAGAAGTGTGTGAACCGGCGTGTGGGCGGGCACGGAAATGGTCCTCTCGCATCGTCGGTCCCCGTGCGGTTTCGCCTACTGCACAGGGTAGACGGGGGCTTCCACTTCCATCCGCACGAGGCTGGAGGCGCGGCTGCAAGAGACGAAACGTGGGCGAGCTGTCAGGGTCACCCTTTGAAGAGGAACCAACAGCCCTTCCTCACCCTCGTCATCGCAGCCCCGCGGGGATGGTGGAAAGTTGCATCCTCCCCCTTCCCGAAAGGTGAGGTTTGCTCAACGCAACCCTGTTTTGAGGGGGATCATCCTGTCCCCGCGCACAGTTTTGCACCCCAAAAAGTTTCCAAGCCTGGCTGGCCGCCTTACGGTGTTGTCGGCTTCATCGTCCACGGCGTGGGTGTCGCCAAAAAATTGGAATTCCCTCCCCACCCACCACCCCGTTGTTGCAACGTTGTCCGATCTCCCTCTGGAGCGTCTTCGTAGCCAGCAGCAGAGGGGTAGCAGGGGTGAAAGGGTTGGGTTAGGGCATGTTTGGGGGGTGAGGTGGGGGTGCAGAGGTGCCGTGCGGGACAGGCAGCGTGGGGCAGGGGGGGCTGGGGGGGGAGGCAGTGGAGTGAGGACAGCCTGGTGGGCGCACAAGGGCAAGGTGCACGGGCAAGCAAGCGGAAGGTGGAGATGGGGCGGCCCTTGAGGGGATCTTCATTGCCCCACGGCGGTGGCTTTGGGGTTGCTCTATGACCAGTAAAATGGTTCTATGTTGGGAAAAATGGCTCTGTATTGGGCAAAATGTCTCTGTATTGGGCAAAATGGCAGTGTAGTTGGGCATAATGTCTCTGTATTGTGCAAAATGGCTCTGTAGTTGGGCAAAATGGCTCCATATTGGGAAAAAAAATACTCTAATTGGGAAAAAAATGGCTCTATATGGGGCAAAATGGCTCTATATTATGAAAAAAAGCTCTATATTGGGGAAAATGGCTGTGTAGTTGGGCAAAATGGCTCTATAATGGTCAAAATGGCTCTGTAGCTGGGCAAAAAGGCCCTATGTTGGGAAAAATGCTCTATATTGGGAAAAAATGGCTCTATATGGGGCAAAGTGACTGTATATTGGGAAAAATGGCTCTATATTGGGAGAAATGGCTCTGTATTGGGCAAAATGTCTCTGTATTGGGCAAAATGGCTGTGTAGTTGGGCAAAATGTCTCTATATTGGGCAAAATGGCTCTATGTTGGGTAAAATAGCTCTGTAGTTGGGCAAAATGGCTCCATATTGGGAAAAAAAAATACTTTATATTGGGAAAAAATGGCTCTATATGGGGAAAAATGGCTCCATATTGGGAAAAAAAGGCTCTATATTGGGAAAAATATCTGTGTAGTTAGGCAAAATGGCTCTATAATGGTCAAAATGGCTCTATATTGGGAAAAAAATGGCTCTATATTGGGAAAAATGGCTCTGTATTGGGCAAAATGGCCCTATATTAAGTAAGATGGCTGTATGTTGGGCAAAATGGCTCTATAGTTGGCAAAAGGGCTCTATATTGGGCAAGATTGCTCATTATTTGGCAAATTCGCTATGTATTCCACGAGAGCAACTTCTATTCAGCGAAATCTCCTTATATTCAGCAAAATTGCCTTATATTCAGCACAATCATCTTATCTTCAGCAAGATTGCTCTATATTTGGTAATAAGGCCCTATATTTTTCTGGTTTGCCCTATATTCGGCGAGTTTCCTCTGTGTTAGGCAAGATCACCCTACATTCGGCAAAGTTGCCCTATATTCAGCAAAACCACTCTGTGTTTTGCAAGAAGGCCCTGTGTTCAGCAAGATCATTTAATATTGGGCAAAAATATCTTATATTCATCAAGACCACTTTATACATGGGGAAATCTATCTAAATTCAAGTCGCCCCATATTTGACTCTTTCTTCTTCTCGTGGGGACAACCCTGAGCAGCACAGCGACGCTGAAGACATCCCGTGATATACCAAAGAACTATTTTTCAGCTTGATCTGGGCTCAGTTTCTCTTTCTACAAAGAAAACTTTCCTGGGCATCGTGATTTTGGTCGAGACCCATTTTGCACAGGATGTCCTACGTCGAAGCGAAGGCATTGGGTGTCTACTCTGTACCCGTCTCTCTAAGGCTGGTCCATATTGATGCAGCGGAAATCCCCGATTATTCAGGTAATTAATTAGGGAGGGTCAACCAATCACGGGGCTGCAGGAGCATTTGTAGCGCTAGATGTGGCAGCAAAAGAGGAGAAGAGTCACTTACCCGAATAATTTCCTTGGGTTTGTGTGTCAGTCGCTGTGGATGAAACCAAAGAAGATGGAGAAGTCCTTCCTGGATGCCGCCTAGCCCAACCCGTTGATGCCCCGTGGAGGTTCCCTACCCTCTTGCTTGCCCAGGCTTAAAGAAAATACCAACCCGTGGTTGGGGGGGCGGGGCTTTTTGGGGTCACTCACCATCCCGCAAAATCCCTGGCTTTCCAGGCATCAACAACCTCTGCAATGCTCCTCACAGCTCGGCCGTCCGGCAACTTCAGGTCATCACTGGGGTCACCATTGAAGTTGCCACAGGGAGCGCAGAGCTGGTTGACCAAGGTGGGCCCTACGGTCACCATCACCTCCCCGCTGGGGCTGAAGAGCACATCCATCCCCGACGTATGGGAGATGGTGATGTTCCCCGCCGCCGCGCTCAAGGAAACAGCTTTGGACACCACAGCTGGAAGGCGGGTGAAAAGACCGTTCACCTGCAGCAAGGCAAAATGCCGGAAACGGGTTAAAAAAAAAAAAAAAAAAAAAAAAAATCTCAGACTGCCCCATAAAAACAGTGCAGCGCAAAGATGTCATTGGGGTTGAACACCTGAGGGCGCCTGAAGGAAGAGGAGATAAGTCCCACCCAAACTCCATGTCTTAACTTCTCATCTTGCTCATCTGCAAGGGTTGCCCGTGCCCTGCCTCAGCTTACCCACACCTCCATGTTGTTATTCACAGTGATAAAAGCTTCGCGGAAGAAGATGAAGACGGCCACGGCGGCCGGGATGCTGTTTTCCCGGCACTCGCTGACTTCCACCACCACCTTGAACCAGTTGGGTGACTGCTCGTTGCAAAGGGCGACCACTTTGTAGGTGCCGCTGGTGAGGAGCTTTCCCCCGGCGCCGTCAAACGTGGTCAGGGAGGCCCCTGGGGAGAGCCGGCACCGGCCTTCCCGCTTGACGCATCGCTGCGCCCCGTCCCGCGTGGCGCAGACCTCGTCTGGGGGACACTGTATGTCCTCGCAGATGAGTCCCTGGGACAGGTGGCAACTGCATTTTGCGGAGCAGTTGCTGGAGATGACGGTCTCACCCGCCTGGAAAGGAAGACCTCAGGGGTTAATCCACATGGACACCATCTCCAAATTTGGGGGAATTTCCCATCTTCAGGCGGGGAAGAAATCCCAGAGGGAGGAAGAAAATGCATGAGATGGATTTGGTGGAGTTTGTGCAACTCGACAAATTAATTGTTCTTTTTCCCCTGGTCCAGAGGAGAAAAATATATATTTTAGGTTGTTATTAATTGCATTATTTTGGATATATGTCCTTAAAATGAAGTGGCAACCCACCTCATCAAAGATTGAGTCCCAAACCCAGTTGAACTGGCAATCAACCTCATCAAAGATGGAATCCCCAGGTCTATTGCATCATTGAGATGGGACAATCCACCTCACCAAATGAGTCCCCATACTAGTTGCATCATCTAGACGGGACAACCTACCTCGCTGAAGCTTAAGTCCCCAAGCTAGTTGCGTTGACCCAAAGATTGAGGCCATGAACCGGTTGCATCATCTAGTTGGGACAACCCACCTCACTGAAGACAGAGTCCCCAAACCAGTTGCATCAATGAGATGGGACAACCTACCCCATCAAAGACTGAATCCCCGAAGCTGTTGAATCATCCGGAGGGGACAACACATCCCACAATCCTTCCTCAACCTGATTTCCACCCAAAATGCCAAGGCCACGCCTTGATGGTCAACCTTACCTTGAAATACCGTCCCCGGTGCATGCAGCCACACTGCTCCAGGGACACGCAGGCTTCCCCGTTGAAGAGGTACCCATCGTCGCATTGGCAACCCTCGAAGCACGTCCAACTGCACGGGGCCGGCACGGAGAGGCTGGCGCAGGTGAAATCGCAGGTGCGGGTGCAAAGCTCGTAGTGGCTGTGGGGTGGGCAGGAAAGGGCTGGGGAAAAAAAAAAGGGAGAAATACTGTTATTTTCCCCCCTCCCCCCCAAAAGTCATGACTGTTTTTTCTGGGCCCATTGGGGCATCCCCCATGGCTGATCGATGTTCTTGGGCATCTCCGATGGCTTCAATGTTCAAACAACCAAATCCTGCTTTTAACATCCAAGTTAAAGCACTTGCATGTCACTACACCTCGAGGCAAAGCAGAGGGATGCTCATTTCGAACTCGTTTGACACAAATATTGATGTTTTGGAGGTGGTATGCTGGAATTTCTTACTTCCAGGGTGGTTTTGGTGGGAAATAGGTGATTGAAGCCTGCAAATGAGCTTTTTGGGGAGGTCTAAAAATAATGTCTAGGCTATTTGATAGATTTTTGAGGGGGTTAAGTGAAAGGCAGCCTTGCATGATATTACGTGGGTCATTTGTGTGTTGTCTTGGTGATGATAAAGTGAAGGTGAGCTTGCCTCAAAAACAGGGGAAAAAAAAAGGATGATTGCAAAATTGTAGGGTTTCACTGGGGGAAAAACGTGGCTTTGGAGGAAAATAGGAGTTGGAGTGTCTCCATGGGGATATTCTGGAGCACTTACGGCAAAATGCGGTCGTTCTCCACCTGCCGATCTCGGCCCCAGCGGCTTGGCAAGCAGCGGCGTAGGCTTGGAGGCTGTGGCACAGCACGTCCCGGGCACCGTCTGCAATGCAGACGTCGTGGAGGCAGTGGTTGAAATACTCCACCGGGCTCACCCGGGAGTGACACGATCCGAAAGGTCCCGCTGGGTCCCGGATGAGGCCGCAAGAGTCGCTGGCACTGTAGGGAGCGGTGTCGGTGGCGTCGCACACGGGACACGCCTCGCCGTTGCAGCCGTCACTGCACGCTCCGTCCTCCATCGGCGTCTTCCAGGAGGTGACGAATTCCTCGGTGCTCCGTGCCAGGGACCCGCCGGGCAGCTGGAAGTCGTCGCCGGGGTCCCCGTTGTAGTTGCCACCCAGTCCGCAGACGCGGCCCCGGTAGGCGTCGGGGATGGTGATGAGGAGGTAGGTGGCCACGTTGTAGAGGAGCCGGAGGCCGGCGGCGCTTTGGAGGATGATGTTGTTCCCTTCTTGGCCGATCCGTAGCTTCTTGTCCTCCGTCACCAGCGGCAGCGTGTAGCGCTCCCCATCCACCTGGGACGTGCACGTAGGAACATGGAGGCGTTTGCACGCACGTGTGCACCCCAGGGGTTTTGCATGCACGCATACACCAAAGGGTCTTGCACACACATGTGCACCGGGGGGTTTTGCGTGCACGCACCGGGGGGTTTTGCATGCATGCGTGGCCCAAAGGATCTCGAGTAGACATGTGCACCGAGGGGCGGGGACGTCCTGACTTACCAGCGGGGAGATTCTGCCCGCACGTGCACACTGGGGATTTTGCCCGGGTGACCGCAGCGGGGGATTTTGCATGCCCGTGTGCACCGAGGGATTTTTACGTGCGCCCCACAGATTTTGCACGCCTGCCTCCACCGAGGCGCGGGGTTGTCCCAACTTACCGTCGCCTCCCACTTCCGTCCCCTCTCCATGCTGACTGTGTGCCTGTGGATGGAGATGATCACCTTCTTCATCAAGGCCACGTTACCCCGGCCGCCCACCTCATGCTCCAGCAGCACCGAGAAGTTTGTCAGCCGCGGCTCCGGCTTGCAGACCCGCGCCAAGACGTAGGTGCAGGAGCCCGGGAGGTCGAAGGCTCGCCCGTCGAACGTCACGTAGTGCGGGTCACCCGACACCACCAGCCGCCCGTAGCCAGCGGGGTAACACCCCAGCTCCCCGTCCTCTACTCGACACTCCTCGTGGGCGCCGCAGAAGACCTCCTCGCACTCCACCACCCCCTTGGCTTTGCAACGGCATCTCTCCCGGCACGAGGCGTAGAAATCCTCGCCCTTCTTGTAGTAGCGGTCCCGGTGCTCGCAGCCGCACTCGCCGGCCGGCACACACTCGTCACCGCTGAGGACGAAGCCCTCGTCGCAGAAGCAGCCCTCGGTGCACAGCACCGACGCGCAGCCCTCGGGGGTGGCTTGGCCCCGACATGTGGCCGGGCAGCTGCTCCCGCAGAGCTCGTAGTGCGAATGACGGGGGCAGGAGGGGCCTGCAAGAAATGGAGGAGAAAACATGAAGCCCCACTCGGGTTTGCAGCTGAAAGCGTCAGGGTGAGTATTCCCATCGTTGCAGCAAAGGTTGGGGGGCAAACGCAAGCAGGTGGAGGAGCATCGATATTGCTCTGGAGGGCAAAGGGGATTTATTTTGCATTCGTCTCCCTTGCATTAATAAAATATGTGGAGAGCGATGCGGATTTATTTTGCATTTCCTTTCCTTGCATTAATGAAATAAATGGAGAGCAGTGGGGAATTATTTTGCATTCCCCTTCCTCGTATTAACAAAATATTTGGAGAGCGATGTGGATTTATTTTGCACTTGCCTTCCTTGCATTAATGAAATAGGTGGAGGGCGATGGGGAATTATTTTGCATTCCCCTTCCTCGCATTAATAAAATATTTGGAGAGCAATGTGGATTTATTTTACATTTCCTTTCCTTGCATTAATGAGATAGATAGCAATGGGGAACTATTTTGCATTCCTCTTCCTTGCATTAATAAAATATTAAGAGAGAGATGCAGATTTATTTTGCATTCCCTTTTCTTGCATTAATGAAATAGGTGGAGGGCGATTGGGCTTTCTTCTACATTTCCCTTCCTTGCATGAAGGAGGAACGCGGAGGGCAATACAGATTTCTGTTGCATGAAGGAGGAGCAAATTTTGTTTCAGAAATGAGTTGGAGGGAATTTTCCCATGTTCATATTTGCATCTAAACTCATCATTCGGCTTCGGGGCTGTAGAGGGAAAGAACAGAATGATTTTTCTAGAAGGAATGGTTGGAAAGGGGGCAGATAAATCCTGTTATTTCATCAGCTCAAAGCCTAGGGTGTAAATCCAAGCAAATCTTGAGCGGTTGAGTGTCAATATTGCTCTGGAGAGCAATAGGAACTAATTTTGCATTTCCCTTCCTTGCATCAGGGAAGAATCTGGAGGACAATGGGGATTTATTTTGTACCGTTGCATGAAGGAAGGAATTTTGCTTTGGAAATTAATTGGAGGGAATTTCCCCACATCCGTATTTGCATCTAAACTCATCATTTGGCCTCAGGGCTGGGGAGGGAGCGGATCAAGCAGCTGTGTCGCAAGGAGATGTTGGAAATGGGGCAAATAAACCCAGTTTTGGAGGCGTTTTGGGTTTCCATTGGCTCTAAGCGAAGCCAAGAGCGGGCGGGTGGGCTCAAAATCTTATTTTTATGGCCAAGAAAAAGGGGGGGGAGGGAATCCCCTTCGGGCCCCGCTCACCGCAGAAGGATGGCATCCTCCACGGCTCCACGCTGATGCCGTGGCTCTGGCACTCGGTCACGTAGGCGGCGATGGCTTTGCACAGGGTGTCCCGGTGGCCTTTGTAGTGGCAGGCGTCGAAGGCGCAATCCTCGAGGAAGGGCGTGGGGTCAATGGTGCCGTGGCAAGCCCGGAAGGGCCCCCCACTCCTGGCGATCACCCCGCAATAGCTGTCGCCACGGTAGGGTTGTTTCTGCTCCTCGTTGCACGTCGGGCAATCCCCCACGCAACCGGCCGAGCAGCCGGGGACGTCTCCCACCTTCCAGCTGTTGGCCAGCTGGATTTCATCGACGGCCCGTTGGCCGTCGCGGGTGACGAAGTCGTCGTCGGCGTCGCCGTTGGCGTTGCCGCAGAGGCCGCAGACGGCGCCGGCGTAGGCGTCGGGGAGGATGACGCGGGCGTAGCTGTACCAGTCGAAGCTCACCCGCATGCCGAAGGCGGTGCGGGCAAAGCCGTGGACGCCGCTGTGGTAGAGCTCGAACTGGCCCTTCTGGGTGAACGGGAGCTCCACGAAGACGCCGTTGACCTGGGGAGGGTGTTGGGGGGGTGGCACTGGGTGGCAAACCACTCATGCCACCCACTGGAGATTGAGACGTCTTTGCAAAACCTTTTTTACCTGGGGCGGGGTGGCAGGGGGGGGTGTGTAGGATTTCCGTGCAAATGCAAATCGGTTGAGATTCGAGTGGTTTTTTTGCAAAACCCGTTGCACAGGGAAGATTTTCGGGCAAATTCAAATCATTATTCAAGATTTGGGTGGTTTTGGCAAACACTTTGCACGAGGATAATTTCCAGATAAAATGCAAATAGCTTGGGATTTGGGTGCTTCTACAAAACCCAGAGAGGCTTTCCAGGGAAGTGCAAATTCCCTGAGATTTGAGTGTTTCTCCAAAAGCCTTTGCACAGGGAGGATTTCTGGACAAATTCAAATCACTCAAGATTTGAGGGATTTTGCAAAGTGCTTTGCATGGAGGAGATTTTATGGTGAAATGCAAATTGCTCAAGATTTGGGTGTTTCTGCAAAAACCTTTCGCATGAGGGGGATTTCCAGGCATAGGGTTCTACGGTAAGTGAAAAATATTATTGTTCAGAGAGAAAAGTAAAGGAAAAGTTGTAGCTAGCCCTTTTGTGCAACACTTTGGCTAAAGCAAGGCGGGAATTGAACCTTTCCCAAATTAATTGAGTCAGTTTCCAGTTGTCAGGGAGAAAGGAAATATAAACTCAGAAAGCCACATGGGAGCAAAAAAAGGAAGCTGAAGGCGTCAAGCAAAGTGGATGCTTTTGAATGTAGAAGCATTTTTGCTATTAGTCATGGATATTTTCCACTCGCTAAGTTTGCCAGAGCAAAAATTGGATGTTTCCACCACACCATAAACAAGCTGTAGGGGGGTTTTCTTTCATTTTTTTCATATGAGCTTTTTTAAGTGTTTGAAAATAAGGTGTTTAAATCCAAACTAGCTGCTTGGGGCTCCCTCTGGAGACAGCAGGCAGAAATGAACGCTTCCACAGAGGCTTGCGTGAGGAAAAAAAGTGGGATTTGGGGGGAAAACATAGTAAATAAGCGGTTTAGATGCAGGGTGTGTGAGGTCCTTGGCAGCCACCTACCTTGACCTTGCGCGGGTGCTCCTGGCTCATGCTGATGACGTTGCCGTAGACCTCCAACGTGACGGTTTTGGTGAAGGAAACGGCTTTGCTGCCCCGGTTGTTGTTCTCCACCTTGACGGTGAAGGGGACCAGTTTGGGGTCCTGGGTGCAGAGGGCTGCGAACTGGTAGATGCAGGTCCCTTGGAAGTCATACCTCAACCCGTCGAAGGTGGTGTAGTGAGGATCGCCCGTCCCGATACAGGTAAAATACTTGGTCGCCTGGCAGCTGGGGACGCCGCTGACCGTGACGCATTTCTCATGGGCTTTGCACCCAGCCTTCCTGCAAGCCACCTTGCCCCCCGCCTCGCATCGGCACCGGCTCTGGCAGCTCCCGTCCTCCCAAAACTCCTCCCGGACCTTGTAGGAGCGACCATTGTGGAAGCAACTGCAGGTCTCCACCGGGACACACGAGTCGTTGTGGAGGACGAAGCCCTCGTTGCACTGGCAGCTCGCCGTGCATGGCTCGCCGCAGGACGCGGGGGCTTTGGGCTCGGTGCAGGTGGCAGGGCACGCCGTCCCACAGGCCTCGAAGTGGCTGTTTTTGGGGCATCTCTGAGCTGCGGGGATAATATTTGTGGAGAGGATCTCAAAAAAAAAAAAAAGGGCAACGCAATGTGTGAGCCAAGCACTTTCCTTAGAGGGGCTCCTACGTTGGATCAGTTGACACCTACAAGTGATTTGGAGTTCCTGAGACGCCCTGTGGGGATGGCCCTCAGGAAAACCTCAACATAATTCTCTGAGCTATGGACATCCAAAGTGACATAAGGTACATTTTGGGGTGGTTTGGCAGGAAAAGAGCAACACAATCCTTCCCCAGTGCTGGAGTTTTTGGTTACGTTGATGCCTACAAGCATCAGCTTGGTGGGCTGGGCAGCAACCTGTGAGCAGATCCCCCTGTGGATCGCCTTCTTTCTCCCCCAAAATGCTTGGGGACCCCCCCATCTGAGCTCACCACAGCCTGCTGTGTCCTGCAGTGTCTCCTGGTCTCTGCAATCGTCCTGGCAGGAGGGATCCCGCCAGCTCTCAGCCCAATCCTCCACACTGGCAGCCTGAGTGCCATCAGAAAGTGTCGTCTCGTCCTCGGTGTCCTCGTTGAAGTTGCCGCAGAGTCCACAGGTAGCCCCGAAATAGCTGCTGGGCACGGCCACCATTATGGCCCAGTCTTCATCATAGGTCACCTGCAGCCCAAAATCTGTTTGCAGGATGGTCCGACCCTCGTTTTGGGAGATCTGGATCTTCCCTGCTTCCAGGGTTGCTGGGAGGCTGGTGAGTTTGTTGTTGACCTGGGGGGGGGGGGGTGGGGGGGGGGGGGGGGTGGAAAGGAGAAGAAGAAGAATTACATCTCAGCCGATGATCACTTTGCTAAGAGTTCACAACCCCCAAAAAGCATGTAGATACAACCAGAAAGAGAAATTTCTTTCAGGAAGAAGTAATTATCAGCATTAACCAGCAATTTGAGCCCACGTCCTCTAGATCCACTGTATCGGGAAAAGACCAAAACCCAAATGTGTCATGGGAGAACCATCTCCCTCAACTTCTGAGCTTAACATCTCATTTACGTTAAGACCACTGAGCTGTACATCTGGGAGGAACTTCATCTAACCTTGGAAAAGCTTGTCTAGACTCCCTTTTTGTGGTGGATCTCCATGGTTGGTGGGCCCAACGGATAAAGCCACCCTCACGGTAGAGTCGCATCCTTCAAATTGTTTTTTTTTTCTTGATTCTGACCAAAAAGTGAGCATGGTTTAATTGAAGACACTCTGAGTCAGGTACAAAGCACGCTTTTCTTCACCGTCTCTTGATTTCTAATGCAAAATTTCCCAATACTCCACAGTTATTGTGGTTCTCCTAATTTTTCAATTTCAGCCTCCCCACACACACAAGTTTTATCCTCTTCCACTTGGCACGAAAGGCTCCCACACTGCCACAGCCTGGAAAAAAAACCCACCTGGATTTTGCCTCCCTCGCCTTTGTGGATGGAGATGTTGTGGGCGTACACGTAGATGTTGGTCAACCATTCCTGGGAGCGGCCTCCGCTCTTCTCCTCCACGACGAAAGGCGCCAGGGTGGGATCGTTGCCGCAATATTTGGCAACAGTGTAGGTGCAGCCGCCCCGGATGTCCACCGTCATCCCGTCGAAGGTGTGGTACTGCAGGGACGGCGACCCCATGCAGGTGCCCATGTAGTCGTGCACGCAGGCGGCCTCCCCCTTCTCCACCTTGCACGTCTCCTTCGCGCGGCATTGCACGAGCCGGCAGGGATCTGGAAGGAATCGCAGGCGATTATTTGCGGGGGCCAGGTGGGGCCGCGGGGACAGCGCAAGTAGCACCGTCACCGCAGGCCGTCAGCCAGCGCCTGCAGTTGTCTACTAAATTAAAGCAGGGATTATATCCCAGGTAGGCTTATCCACCTCAAGCTTAGACTTGATCTTCTGTGTTGATTGCTTGAGGCTCCCTTCATTAACTGCTGAATTACAGATGACTTATTTATAAAATACTTATACATTATTTATAGATAAAAAATTACCCCTGGTAGGTTTAGCCACCTTAAGTTTAGGCTTGAACTTCTGCATTGATCGCTTGAGGCTCCTTTCATTGATTGCTTAATTACAGATTATTCATTTATAGATTACTTATAGATAAAAAATTAGCCCAGGTGGGTTTAGCCACCTTGGACTTAGACTTGAACATCTGAGTTGATCACCTGAGGCTCCTTTCAGTGATTAATTATAGATGATTTGTTTATAGATTATTTATAGATAAAAAGTTATTCCTGGTAGCTTTAGCCACCCTAAACTTTGACTTGAACTTCTACATTGATCAGTCGAGGCTCCTTTCATTGATTACTTAATTACAGATGATTTATTGATAGATTACTTGCAGATAAAAATTTAACCCAGGTAGGTTTAGCAACTTTAGGCTTAGTCTCGAGTATCTGAGTTGATCATTTGAGGATCCCTTTATTGATTGTTTAATTACAGATGATTTATTATCTACAGATAAATATTTATAAATAAATATTCTATATTTATATTTATATGTCATATATATGATTTTATATAATTATATGATACATCTATAAATAATTTCTAAATAAAAATGTATAGATAAAAATGTATCCGAAGTAGGTTTAGCTGCCTTAAGCTTGGACTTGAACATCTGGGTTGATCGCTTGAGGCTCCTTTCATTGATGTAATAATGGATTATTTATTTATAGGTTATTTAGAGATTATATATTTATAGAAGAAATATCCTCTCCTAAAATGAGCCAAAGCCATGTTGGATTAATTACGCCCTTTTAGACTGATCTATTCTTGTGCTACAAGAGAAAAGCTGGGTTTCAGCTCAAATCAGCTAATTTTAGCCACTTTTCTAGGCGCGAGCTCAGCGTTTCTCAACTACAGGGATGGAAAGGGGATGTTATCAATGCCTGACTCGGAGGAGTGAATTTTAACTCCTAAAAATATGTGGGTTTGCCTTGCATTGCAGCCAGGCTTTTTGAGAGGGGGCAGGAGCGTGGGAAAAAGGGGGTGAAGGGCCCTGGAGGTGGCCCCAGGACACTCACCGCTGTCACAAACCGCCGCTGACCCGTAGGCTTTTTGCTCCCGGATCCCCACGCTGAGCAAGCCAAAGGGGGACGTCTTGTGCTCCACCGTATGGACGGCGAATTGACTGCCCAAATTCTGCCCGGCCCACGAGTAATCGGTGCCCGGGATGGGCTTCCACGCGACATTTCTCAGCGGCGTTTTGTTGAGCGTCATTCCAGACGTCTCCGAGGTCTTGGCTATCAGCAGGGCGTAATTATCGTAGCCGTCAAGGGCAAAGATCTTGTAGGAGTCACAGTAGCTGGAGACATCTGGGACGGTCATAAAAAATGGGTCGTAAGAGATGGCATCTTTATGACCCCCGTCGGCAAAAAAAATGACCTGGATGCCAGCATTGGCAGAAAGGTACAAGGTATTTAAGGCTTGGAGGCCGTAGAGCGTTGACCGGCTGGGCCGTAGCTCCCGAACAGTCTTGGTGACCCCGTGTTGAGACTCCACGCGCGTTGGCTGGGAGGTGGAGACGTAGATGATATCAGACTGAGTCTCGAAAGGCAATGGCGGCACGATGAAGGTGGTGCCCCAGCTGGAAACGGGCTGGAGCTGCTCCAGCAAATGGTCACAGTGGGCGAATCTGGCCAAGCAAGTGTGGCCAGTGAAGACGGCGACGGGTTTCTGCGCCACGATCTTTGTGCCAGACATGTCAGACGGGCTTTGGAGCTGGGCTGCTTGGAAGGGCTCCAGTCTGATGGGGAGCACTGAGCCCCGGGGGTAAGACCGGCCTTGGTAGGTCACCGTGGCTTTGAGGTGCACATCAACCATGGTGGGCTCATCCCAGGCGGCCACCACGAACTCACCGTAGCGGTCAGTGCCCACGTTGGGTGTCACAACGTGGTATTCCGTGCCCCAGCTGTGCACTGGGTATACCACGGCTGAGTCAACCGAGGTGGGTTTCTCGTTGACCATCACCAAGGAGATGGCGTTGTTGGCCCTCACCACCACGGTGTTGTCGAAGGTTTTACTTCCCACCATCTCCGCTTGGGGCGGGATCTTCACCAGGATGGTTTGGCCCGTGGTCACCTGCACCGTCATCCTCAAGCCTGGCTTCTTCATGGAGATGGTTACAGACGTGAAGGGCGAATAACCTGTGATGAGCAGCTTGAAGTCGCTGTTGAGGGTCTGCTGCAAACCATTTTGCATGAAGGTCACCACAAAGTCTTCCCCCAGGTGCTGCGGAGCCGACGCAGCGACGTTGATCAAGTAAAAAAGGCCTAGAAAAGCCCGAAGAAGAGGAGAAATTGCTGTCAGTGCCTTCATCATCCGTAAGGTCGGATTTGGCGATTCTAGATGGGGACCAAGACTCAAGTCGGGCTTGAGGTGGCACCTGATTTAATCTTGGTGGATAAGGAACAGAGATTTTCTGGGATATTATTTATTTTGGAGGAATAATAATTTGAATTAATATTGATTTGATGAACTTCTGATTTGACAGACTATTGATTTGATGGGTTATTAAGTTGGAGAAATAAGGTCTGTTGATTTGAACAAATATTGAAGACATTGTTTGGAAGGAATATCAATTAAGAGGGCAATCAATTTGAATAGACATTTGAAGAAATAACAATTAATTCCCTGGGCAAGAGATGAGCTTTTTAGACGGGTTTCATGGCAGGTGGGGTAATTCAAAGGGAGAAATTGGGATTTTTAAGGCGTCCCCGCTCACCTCCAAAAGGCCACAGGGGTGGGAACGTGGACAACCACGCTCAGAGATTACGTTGAAGGAGCACGGCAGGTGCTGGGTTGCAAACAGGGAGAAAATTGCCCTATTTTCAATCAATCTCCCCCAAAACAAGGCTTGGATGGGGTCTTTGCCTCTTGGTTTCCCCTCTACACATCATGGGGGGGTGTGGAATTTTGTCTCTTCTCAATCATTGCACGGGAGGGGGGGTGCAAAATGTGGCTTTTTGGACTGGAAAAATCTTATTTTGAGGCGATTCACATTTTGGGGGGGAATTTTACAGGTTTTATGATGGATTTCTCCATGCTGTTTGAACTCACCCCATAACACGATGGTCCAGACCCTCAGCGGCACATCAGCTCTTCCCCAGCCCGGGCTGGCGTCCATGGTGCTTTGGCTGCAGAAGGTAAAAAAAAATGATCAAATTCTCCATTTTTTTTTCAAAACTGCACTTGTGTTTGCCCATGGCCCAAAATTCTGAGGTTTATTGCACATATCCCAGAATCCAACATTTTATTACACTCAGACTCACATACATCCTCAAAAATATGAGTTGCTTTTGTCCACAAAATAAGTATTGCATTGCATTCGGCCCAGAAGTCTGGGTTTTGTACTCACACTCACCCCAAAAATCTGGGTTTTTTTCACTTATACTCATCCCAAAAGTCACTATTTTTATTGCACATACACCTGTCCCAAAAAATCTAATTTTTTTTTTTTTTTTTTTTTGGCATGTACACCTGCCGTCCCCCATCAAAGGACCACCCCTCCCATCACTTCACATCTCCATGGAAACAGACCCAGGATGATGCATTTGGGTCCCCCCACATTTTTACGAAATTCGATATTTGAAAGTTCATATTTGCTCTTTTCCCCTTTCTCCCCCCTTTCTTCCCATTTCCTCCTTTTTTCCTTTTTTCCCCATTTCCCCCTCCTTTTTTCCCCCTTTTCCTCTTTTTTTCTTTTTATCCTTTTTTCTCTTTTCCTTTTTTCTCCTTCCCCCATTTTTTCCATTTTCCCTTTTCCCCCTTATTTCTTTTCTTCCCTATTTCCCTTGTTTATCTTGATCCATTTCCCCTTTTCCCTTTTTACCTCCAAATCCCCTTTTTTTCTCTCCTTTTCCCCTTTTTTCCCTTTTCTCCCTTTCCTCCCCCTTTTTACTTTTTTCCTTTTTACCCCCAAATCCCCTCTTTTTCTCTACTTTTCACCTTTTCCCTTTCTCCCTTTTACCCTTTTCTCCCTTTCTTCCTCCTCTTTCCTTTTTCCCTTTTTACCCCCCAATCCCCTCTTTTTTCTCCTATCCCTCCTTTTCCCCTTCTCCCTTTTTCTCTTTCCTCCTCCCTTCTCCCTCTTTTTCCCTCTTTTTTTTCCCCCCAAATCCCCTCAGAAACAGTCAAATTCAGCTGCTACCAGGAACAAAACCAGGGGTTGGGGGGATCTGAGGAACTTCCAGATGTAACTTTCATATTTTTGGCTCTTTTCTGTGAAAAAATATATTTATGTGTATATATATTTAACCTTACCTGCCTCTGATTTTTATCCGGCCCCAAAAAGTTCCTTTTTGTCCTTCAAATCCTTGATGGAAATACCGAGAGCGACCCTGGGGCAGCTGGCTCCTGCTCCTCCCTTTATTATATTTTGCCGAAAAGAGGGGGAAAAAAATGACAAATACAGACGGCCCCAGGGGACCGACCCACCCAGAGCTTTGACATCATTTTTGGCAAGAAAAAAAGGTGAAAACAGGGAGGGAAACATTGTTTTGATTAAAGCCAGGCCAGCTGGGGGTTGATGCAAATGGCAAAAAAAAAAAAAAAAAAAAAAATTCTGGATTGCTAAATAAGGATTTTTTTTTTTTTTTCCCCCTGGGAAGGTTGGAATTACGCCAGAATTACAAGTGGGGGCGAGGGGTATGAAATGGGTGGGACTCTTTTTTTACAGAAATGGGGTGCATTAATGGGCCAAAAAAATTTTAAAAATTGGAAAAATGGGAGTGGGGTGAGGCAGTGGGGTTTTTTTTTGAAAAAAACACAGTTTTGGGGGACAACGAATAGGGCCAAAGTGGGGGGGCGGGGGGGTGGGAAGTTGGGCAGGGAGCGTGTGTCATGTCAGAGCGTGTTGCGGGTGCGATGTTTTTGGGGGTGTTTGTGCCAAGTTGTGTGGGTCATGTCGTGTTGTGGGGGTGACATTTTGGGGGGGTTGTGGGCAATGTTGTGTGTCACGTGTTGTGTGGGTGTGTGTTGCGAGTCCATTATTTTTGGGGGTGTTTGTGCTAAATTGTGTGTCGTGCACTCCATGTGCGTGTTCTGTGCGTGACAGGGTGTCAGTGCATGTCGCGTGTGGGCTGTCATGTCAGAGCATGTTGCAGGGGGTGTTTTTGGGGGGGCGTTTGTGCCAAGTTGTGTGTTGTGTCATGTCGGAGCGTGTGGTGGGTACAATATTTTGAAGCCAGTGTGCAAAGTTGTGCGCACTGTGTGCATGCGTGTTGTGGGTCCCGTGATTCTGGGGTTGTTTGTGCCAAGTTGTGTGTTGTGTGTTCTGTGCGGTGTGCGTTGTGACGTGTCAGAGCGTGTCGTGGGGGGTTGTGCGTGTTGAGACGTGTCAGAGCGTGTTGCGGGTGCAACACTTTTGGGGCGTTTGTGCTAAGTTGTGTGTGTCGTGTCGTGTCGTGTCAGAGCATGTTGTGGGGGCAACAATTTGGGGGGCTGTGGGCAAAGTTGCGTGTCACGTGTGTGTTGTGCGCATGTGTGTTGTGGGTCCAATGTTTTTGGGGGTGTTCATGCCAAGTTGTATGTTGTGTGTTCTGTGCATGTGCGTTGTGACGTCTCAGAGCGTGTTGCGGGTGCGATGGTTTTGGGGGTTTTTGTTTCAAGTTGTGTGTCATGTTCCATATGTTGCGTGTGTGTGTGGAGGGGCATTTGTTGTCTGTTGCGTGCGAGTGGTGTGTTGTGGGTGTGGAGTGTTGTGGCTGTGGTGGTTTTGTGCAGCGCCACGCGTGTTCTGTGTCCAGTGCGCACGCCGTGCGTGCGTTGCGTTGTGTGCAAGCGTGTTGTGTGTCTGCGCGCACACCTCGGGGTGGGGGGTGTTGTGTGTAGGCGTGTTGTGCATTGGCGTGTTGTGTGCACCTGGTGTGTGTTGAGCGTGGTGTCCCGTTGCACGCATGTGTCGTGTTGTGCGCACACGTGTTGCACACACCTTCTGCGTGTTGAGCGTTGCGCTGCACGCATGAGTTGCGTGTCGCCCACATGTGTGCGCTCCTGGCCTGATGGCTGGCTTGTGTTGCACACGTGTGGCGTTGCACACGTGTGTTGTGTGTTGTGCACGTGTGTGCACACCTAGTCTGTTGGCTGCCCCTGTCGTGTTGCACACACGTTGTGAGACGTGCAAATGTGTGCTGGGCACGCCTAGGGGCAGTGTTGCACCGGTGTTTGTGTGTCGTGCACGTGTGCACACCTCCTGTGTGTCGACTGCTGTGTCGCACACACGTCCTGTTGCACGTGTGTGCTGTGTACATGTGTGCGCACTCGCTGTGTGTTGTGTTGTGCTGCACTGCAGCGCGTTGTGCACACGAGCGTGTCCTGCACACACGGGTTGTGCTGTGCACGCTGGCGTGTTCTGCCCGTGCCGAGTCATGCGCACGTGTGTCATTCACGTGTTGCATGCTGTGCCCACCGGTGTGTTGCATGTTGCGTGTTTGTGCTCATTTCCATGCGCAAAACCACTTTCTCTTTAGGGAATAAAATTCCTCTTTAAGGAAAAAAAAAAAAATCTCAATTTGTGGTTTTTTAGGTGATTTTTTTCCCGTCAAAGTTGGATTTTTCGCCAAAATTAGTCACTTGGGCTCTTGGTACAATCCTGACCTCACATCCCTGCAGGAAAATGCCCATAAACAGGGAAAATCCAGGATTATTACAGATAAAATGAGCCCAGAGCATTTGGAAATATTTTTTTGGCATTTTTGGCAAAAAAGGAGGGGAAAAAAAAAAAAAAGTTGCATGACAGAGAGTACAAGAAATCATTAATTTGTGCACAGTGTGCAAAAAATCATAAATTTGTGCTTGTAGAGGGTAAAAAAAATGATAAATTTATGCACACAGAGTGTAAAAATTATAACTTTGTGCGCATAGTGCAAAGAAAATCAAAATCATACAGAGTGAAAAATCATAAATGTTTGCACGTAGAATGCAACAAAGTCAAATTCATGCACACACACACACAAAAATAAATTTGTGCACACAGAGGGCAAAAAATAATAAATTTGGACAAAGAAAGTAAAAAATCATAAGTTTGTGCATGCAGGATGCAAAAAAATCTTAAATTTGTACAGCTAGAGTGAAAAAATCTAAAGCTCACACACACAGAAGGGCAAAGAAATCATAAATATGAGTGAAAAAAATAATAAATGCCTCCACAGACAGCAATAAATCATAAATTCATGCACACAGGCATGAAAAAATTCATACATGCATGCAGAGGGGCGTAAAAAATCATACATTCGTGGCCATAGAGAGCAAAAAACCACAAATTTATGAAGACTCAAGCAAAAAAAATCATGCATTTATTCTCACAGAAGGCAGAAAGTCATAAATGCATGCATAGTGTATAAAAAAAAATGTAAATTCATGTGCACTGATGGAGATAAAACACAAATTTATGTACAGACACAAAAAGCTCCTATATTTGTGTATGCAGAGGGCAAGAAAATTATAAATTTTTGCACATAGAGTGCGAAAAGCCATAATTTAATGCACAAAGAGGCCAAAAAGTGATGAATTCTGGCACATCTTGTCTAAAAAGTGTGAGAAATGAAGAAGACGCGGGAGCACGATGTCTCAGCTGCGGTTTTATTGGTCTGGTGGAGGTTGGCACATCCCGCTGGGTGACCTTGACCTACGCGTGTGACGGGGCAACCGGGACGGGGACAACTGGGATGGGGACAACGGGGACGGGGTTGGTTCTTCTGCTCCAGGCACCTTGATTTATCTGCCAGAAGAAACCAAGGACTCAAGAGAAGGAAACATTTTTCCAAGCAATTCTCAATTCTCCCTTTTTTTCCTCTAGGTTTTTCACCCCCAAAACTCAACTTACAACCAGCAGTCGTTGGCGGCCTTGGGCACCTCAGTGGGGACCCCCGTCACCTTGAAGTCATCCACCTGGAAGACCCAACGCCCCGGGACTTTGACGTTGGAGGTCATGGTGATGTTGATGATGGCTTCGGTCTGGGACCCGGGGATGTTGTAGAAGTTGGTGTCATCTCCGCTGTTGAAGCCAGCCTGAAAATGGGGCCAAAATGGAGGATTTTGAGGGTTAACCTCACCCAGGGTGTGGGGCAACCTCCTCCCGGTGGTGGGGGTGTCTCCAGAAAAACGTTACGGGCCAACCTCCGGTCCTCAGTCAACCTGGCATTGTCCTCCCCAAAAATGTTATGGGCCAGTCCACAACCTTCATCATCGTTATCCCCAGCAGATGTTACGGGACGACCTTCTACCATGAGCAAATGTGGTGTTTTCCCCTCAAAAACCATTGTGGGTCGACCTCCAAACTTCATCATCGTTGTTCCCGGAAGATGGGATGGGACAACTTCCTACCGTGAGTGAAGCTGGTGTTTTCCCCCAAAAAATGTTGCGGGCCACCATCCTACCATTGGCGCTGTTGTCTCCCCACAATGGTTCAAGCCAACTTCCAGTCTTGGATGAACCGGGTATTGTCCCCCCAAAAATCTCTTGGGCCAACTTATCTTTGGTATCACCTTCTACAAAAAATATCATGGGCCCAAGTCCTACCTTCAGTGTTGTTTTCCCCCCAAACGTTGTGGGCCAAAGTCCTACCTTCGGCAAATCTTGGGTTTTTCCCCCAAAAAATATTGCTGGGCAATTTCTCCCCTCCCTTCCTCCCATTTCCCTCAGGTTATTCCTTCAGCCCCACGACGTACATGGGCTGGGGTGCCTCCGAGACCTGTTTCGGGGTCACCGTCGCTCGCCGTCCCCGTAGTCCACTGGATATCCCAATAGTTGAGGATGATGAAGGACGTCTTGGTGTTGGTGGTCAGGATGGCTTGGAAGGTGTTGCCCTGCAAAAAGGAAGGGGGAGATGATACCGTCAGGGGTGGGATGAGCAGGTAGGGGTGGGATTTAGCCCTCAGGGCTGCACGCGGGTGCAGATTCCTCCCCCAGAGCTGTGCAAGGAAGCCATCTTGGTGACACATGGCCCATCCAAGCTGGTCTTTTGGTGTCTACCTTCAGATGAGCCCTTTTGGTGCTCTACCACAGCCTCTTTCTCTGCACGGGGTGGCCAGAGGAAGAGTGTAGTAGACAAGCTGGATTTCCACACAGTAAAAAAATACCAATAAAATTAATCAGGGAGTAAAGGTTTGGATGTGGCACCTTCGTGTCAACACCTAGGGATAGTTGAGGAGCTCCATGGGGTTTTGCGAACCCATCCAGGGCTGGCAGGGGGGACCTCAAATACATGCTCACCTCAAATGTCATGACGGCGCATGAATGGGTAGCAAAGACCAATGGATGGGTCGTGAAGGCCAACGAATGAGTTGTGAAGGCCAAGAATGGAATGTGAAGGCCAAGGAGGAGGTCACAAAGGCCATCCAATAGAGCGTCAGGCCAACAAACGGGTCATGAGAGCAGCAGATAGGTTGCAAAAGCCAATGAGTGGGTTGCAAAGGCCAATGAAGGGAACGTAAAGCCAACAAAAGGGCTGCGGGTCCAACAGGTGATGATGGATTTGAGGCCCCGTGATTTGCTTTGCTCTCCAAAACACATTTGCCTGTGGCCACGGGCTCGTCTCTGCACCGAGTCAGGGTGGGATAAATCAGTTTTCATGTGTGTGACCTTATCTGGCCTCCAAGTCATGGCTGTGGACCTTACCTTATTGGAGGTAGAGCCGTAGTAGGCCACGTGGTCCCAGGTGGCCACGAAAGCCCATGTGGCCGTGTAGGGAATCTCGGGGAAATATTTGTTGATGCTCTTGGTGATGCGTGCCAGCAGCATCGGGTCGGTGGTCTCTCGGTAGAAGACGTCCCCTCCCAGAACATTGTTCACATCCCCCCAGTACGGGGCCACGAAGGAGCGTCCATCAGCCAGGGGGAAGGGGTCGGGGGTGTATTGGCGGACTGGGGTGTCGAAGGAAATCACACCGTTGTTGTTCACCTACAAAAGACGCCAGGTCAATGCCAAGGTGGTGGTGGTGGCAACTTAGGTTGGTTTTCAACGCCTTGACTCGGCTGTGGTAGCCTGGAGACGGACACGAGACCTAGATGGGGTCTTACCACCGACTTCTGCGTCTCTACGACCGTATTGGAGATGTTTAGGTCACAGTTGCATCTACAGCTCCATCAAAATGAGGGGGGTGGTGGGATATAACACCCTAAACGTGGCCACAGACCTCCCACCCACTGCTCCAGAAGGGTGTAGATCTCCTCCCAAGACCTACCAACCACACAAGGATGCTTGGATGCCCCCCCCAAAAACCCCTCATATTAAGGCGACCAGGTCAATCCCATGGACAGGTAGATTTTGTTGGGGGGGCAAGTGCCAAAATGGACTGGGAAAGGGAGCCAAGAAAAAAAGGTGGGAAATTGGAAAAATGGAGAGACACGCAAGGGCGACGTCGAATTTTGGCTCACGTACGTAAAGGCTTTGGTACTCTTTGCTGTAGAAGGTGAAGGGCACAGTGAGGGAGACCTTCTTCGAAGTCCCATCATCGAGTTTGGGGTTCTTATGGTCGCCCTGGTCCGGACCATAGGGGTAGAGCAAGGATCCTGCAGGAAGGAAGAGGCTGAGGTATTGGGGAACCCCCCCCTCCCAGCCCCTCCCAACTTCATGCGTTTTGGGGTGAAGCCTGCCAGATTTGGGATTCCCGAGGTTAAATGGGACCTGTGCTCCAGCTTCCCGAAAATGGGGTTGATTTCTCGTGGGCGTCCCAGCAGCTTGGGGTGAAACTGGGGCTGAAGGGAACCGCCCCACGGGAATCACGGGGGGGGACACGCAGATTTGGGAGCAAACAGGGCAAAAATAGAACATCTGGTTTCCGCATACCCCAAAATGTAGCTGGGAGGAAGCTCTGCTGCCTTCCCACTTCCCAAACTAAAGCAGGAACAACCCCGTTTTGGGTGGAAATACCGTCTATTAACACAACACACACACACCACACCCCCAAATACCCACCTTCTTCTTGCGCTGGTTGGACGTTCATCACAGCTCCTGGGGAAGAGACGGGGAGGGGAAATATTAACCTGGGAGCAACCATCACCCAGGACATTTTCATCCAGCAGCATTCTCAGAAGATAATTGTTTGGTTTTTGTTGTTTTTTTTTTTGTTTTGTTGTTTTTTTTTTTTTTTAACCTACCTAACATCAGGAGTAGGGAAGTGAAGAAGGGCTTCATCCCACCAAAATCATAAAAAAACCTGCAAAAATTAAAAAACGAAACAAACGGATGCTCTGGAGGTGAAAAGTTTCCCTTTAAAATACCAGCCATCCTCTCCCCGCCGTTTTTTTTCCCCATTGCGTGGTGGATATGGATTATTTTGCCCGTTTTTTTAAAAATAATTGCATGATTAGGCAAGCTTTTATTTTTCTTACTGACCGAGAGTTGAGAAAAAACAGGTTTCCTGAGTGTATTTTAACCCTTTAGTCATCCCTTTTTGCACCACCCTAAGGACTGAGCCCAGGGGTCCTGCTTGTGAGAATCACCCACCGGAGCAAGGCTGGGTATAAATTGGAGGAGTTTTGGTGAAAAACAAAACAACATTAAAAAACCCCCAAACCTAACACCTGGGTGTTTTCCTGGCTGGGAAAAGAGAAACTGAGGCAGGATGGAGAATGCCCAATGGGAATGGGGTGATCTGATCAGCACCCATGGGCGTATTTTGCAAAACAAACTCCAGCTCCGGAGCGGCCCAACGGCACCGGGTGCTTTTTGGGGAGTGTTTCCGCTCAATTTGTGCAGGTTGAAGCCCTTTGGAGAGAGAGGGCAGCTGCTGGAATTCGTGCGATTTCAGTGATTTAAAGAGAGAGGGTTTAAGGGAGTGATGGACGCTCGCAGTGGAAATAAAATCTCTTACCTCGGGATCTGGCCGCGTCCTGATTTCCCGAGGGAAAAGCGAGACGAGGAGAGAAGAGGCACCGACACGAGCTCGGCCACCGAGAAATGGGGTTTCTGTCTCATCCTACCCCTCTTTTTAACACTCAGCCCTCCTGGCTCCCTCCACCACGAGAAAAAAAAAAAAAAAAAAAGCAATGTAAATGCAGTGGAATCTGCCAATTTTCTGCCTGTCAAAGCAGCACGGATCCACAGTCCTGCCGGGGTCTCTCGGGGGGGGGAGGATTTTAGGACATGGGAGACCTTTGGCTCCTCCTGATGTTTTTTGAATTCTAGATAAGGCTTTGGCAAGGAGACGCTGGGTGGGTTTCCAGTTCTCGGGAATTCCCATAAGGGATTTTTTTTCTAATTAAACGTCAGGGGAAAAAAAAAAAAAAAAACAAAACAAACAAAAAACCAAAACAAAACTACAACAAAAAACAAAACAAAACAAAACAAACAAAAAAAAAAGAAAAAAAAAGCAAACAAAAAAAACCCCCAAAAAACAGTTGACACACCACCACCCCTGGAGGGAGCGAGAACAAGGGGTCACTGAGCAAAAACGTGCTGTGCGTGCATAATTTCCAGCAGTTTGATGAAATTTTGGGGGCGGGTTGGGCAGATGTCAGGGGTGGGGGGAAGAGCGAGAGGCCTGGGGAGGTGCGAGGGGACAGCCGGGGCCGCTGTGCGGGCAGCAGGATTTCTTCGCCCAAAGGCCTTTGCAATCGCGAAATAAAAGCAAGATGAAAGGCTGTCAGCAGGGAGGGCTGTGGGTCCTGCACCCATCGCAGCCTCCTCTGTGGGTCCTGCACCCATTGCAGCGTCTTCTGTGGGTCCTGCACCCATTGCAACATCCTCTGTGGGTCCAGCACCCATCACAACATCCTCTGAAGGTCCAGCACCCATCCCAATGGCCCCTGTGGGTCCTGCACCCCTTGCACCATCCCCCATGGACCCTGCACCTATTGCACCATCCCCCATGAACCCTACACCCATTGCACCATCTCCTCTGGACCCTGCAGCTCTTGCACCATCTCCCGTGGACCCCGCACCCCTTGCAATATCCCCTGCAGATCCTGCACCCATCACAACGTCCCCCGTTGATCCCGTGCCTATTGCACCATCCCCTATGGACCCTGAACCCATCGTTCTGCCTCCTGCAGATCCTGCACCCACCACCAAGTCCACAGCGGATTTTTTTTTTTTTTTTTTGCTTTTGCAAGGGAAACGGGGCAGGTGAAGGAAACCAGCTGCACATTTTCATGTCCTGGCTCCGCCACTTGGGCCAGAAACTCCAATTCTCGGGAACTCCAAGAGCAGTTTTGCAACCTGACCTCCTCGGGCCGTGCCAAGACCCAGCAGCCCCTACCCCATCCCCTTCCACGAGATTCTGCTGAATCGGCTGAAATCGGCCTGTTTCAGAGCCAGTTCCTTCTCCTGCTTCTCCTGTGAAGCTCTGCCAGGAGATTCTCAGGAAAATACAGATAAGCCCCATCTGGTTATAAAAAGGGAGATTTTGGGACCATCCCTGCGTGGTTTTTTCATCCATCTTCATACATCCATGGGCTTCGGGGAGAGGAAAGAGAGACGCTGAGGCAGAAAGGAGCCGGCGGGTAAGTGGGGTGGGATTGAGGTTTTATTTTGCCTTTTTTTTTTTTTCTTTTTTTTTGCATTTTGCCTTGTCCTGTCCGGGTGTGAGCCCGGGTGGGCGCCACCTGAACAAAAGCAAAATGGTGTCGGTGACGTCTCCGCTCACCACACGGGAGCCCCAGGTGGGTTAAATTGACTGCAAAACTATATAAAACGCAGATTTTATTTTTTTTCTTCCTCGTAAGGCCAGGTAGACCTGGTTTTGATGGAACCCGTTCCATAAATCCCCATTGGGCACGACGGCCTGGGTGTTAACCCCCACAGATGTTGAGTGACGATGGGGGACCAGCAGCTCTGAGAGCAAGGTGGGAGGAAGGCTCGGCCTTGCTATTTGGCCCCTTTTCGACCCAACTTTTGGTGATTTGAGGGGGCAGATTTCATCCTTGGGAGGCTTTGTGGAAGATTACCGGGAGGGTTTGATGGGAAGGGTGGGAGACCTTCGAGGTGGCGTCAGGAGGGGGTTTGGGGATTGTTGGGTTGGAGGAGGTGGCGAAGGGGTGACGCTGGGCCGAGGGGGTCGAGTAAGATTCAGCCCCAACCCAAAACGAGTTGCAAGAGGTTTCCACGGGGCCGAAAAAAGCCTTTTGGGACAATTTTGGGGCCAAGAGGGGATGCTGGAGACACCTGGGGCGCCTGTGAGCCCCAGCTGATCCCTGAGTGGCCTTTTTTTTTCGCAAAAAGAAAGCATTTTCATGGGGTTTGGTCGTTGTTTGTTTTCTTTCCCAGCGATGGCGACGAGCAGGACGCGGTGGCTCCCAATCTGCCTGGCGCTCTTCTGTGGTGAGCAGCAACCCAACCCCATTTCCTCCCCCCTCCTCCAAAAAATCGAATTTCCTGGGGTTAGGGATTATTTTAGGACTTTCTTCTGCAGCAAAAAGTCCTTATTCTCGGTTTCTTTATTTTTCAGAAAATCTGCCTTATTCCCTCATTTTCCCACAGCGAAAAGATCTTATTACGTCTTTGCCTCTTTACCAAAAATCTCTCACCCCCTGATTTTTTTTTTTTTCACCAGAGTCCTTATCAGCAGCTTGCCTTTTTTTTTTTTTTTTTTTTTTTTTTGTTTAGCAGAGCCCTTATCACCTTTTTTCCCCCAGGAAAAAAAAAAAAAAAGTCCTTATTTCCTCATTTTTTAAAGAAAATGCTCTTGTTCCCTGTTTGCTGTGTGGGTTTCTTGAGGTAAAAAAAAATAAAAAATATATATATATTACCAATTTCTTTTTTTTTAATCAGATAAAATAGCCGTTATACACAGAGGCTTTCTTTTAGGGTGACAAAAAGGCCTTATTGCCCCGCTTTTTTTTTAAAGAAAACTCCCTTTTATCACTTTTTATTTTAAGAAAAAAGTCCTTATTCCTTATTTACATGTGTAGTTACTTATCTGGTTCGTTTTTATCCTAGGAAAAAGTCTTTATTCCCTGTTTCTTTCAGAAAAAAAGCCCTTGCCATTTGTCTGTCTTTTCCACACCAAAAAGTCGTCACTATCTGTTTTCTTTCACTCAAATGCCCCTTTACCAGTAAATGCCCATTACCAGTTCTTTTTCACTAAAAAGCCCTTAATACCTTCCCCCCCTTCCACCCCCCCCCCCCCCACCCCCCCCCGGAAAAAAAAAGCCCTAATCACCATTTCCTTCTAGGAAAAAGATTTTATCACTTTAAAAAAACACAACAACCTGTTATTTCACTAACCTTCACCATCACCTGTTTATTTTTCAGAAAAAAAACCCCTCTTACTAGCTACTTTTCTTTCAGAAAAAAAAGCCCTTATTACCTGTTTTTTTTTTCCAGAAAAATCTCATTATTCCCTGTTTTTCACCAAAGTGCCCTTTTCCCTTGCTTTTTCTAAGGAAAAAAAAAACAAAACAAAACAAAACTCAAATTCCTGGTTTTACCAAAAAAGCCCTTATTACCTCTCTTTTTTCTATAAAAAACCTTATCACCTGGCGTTTTTAGGGTTTTTGGGGTTGGGTTTTTTGTTAGCTAAAAGATCTCATCACCTCTTTAGGACTTTTTTCCCAATAGAAGCCCTGATTTCCTGTTTTTTTTTTTCACCAAAAAGTCCGTATTAGCTGTTTGCTCTTGAGCAAAAAGTTCTTATTCCCATGTTTGTGGGATTCTTTTTTTTAAGAAAAAAACATGTTCCCCTTGGTTTTGGTATTTAAAAAAAAAATAAATTCTCACCTGTTCATGATACAAAATGCCATTTTTCCCTGTTGTTTGGGGGTTTTTATTATTTAAAAAAAAAAAAAAAAAAGCCTATATTACCTGTTTGGTTTGTATTTTTTTTCCCTTTAAGAAGAAAAAAGTTCATTTTAATCTGGTTTGGATTGAGGGCGGTGTCAAGAAAAAACCCTTAGTCCCTCATGGGTTTATAGCATTAAAAAACCTGTAATACCTGGGGGGGGGTGTGTGTGGGGGGGGGGTGTGGTATTTGGAGTTTCTTTCCCCCAGGAAACCAAACCAAACCAAACCACCTTATTATCTGTTTTATCAGAGAAAAATAAAAAAGCCTCATCACTTGTTCTTTATGCACACACACAAAAAAAATCCTATCACCTGTTTCTCACCAAAACCCTATTATCAGTTTGTTTTTTTTTTTTTCTTTTCCTTTCAGAAAAAGCCCTTATTACCCATATTTTTTAAGAAAAAGCCCTTAATTTTTTTTTTTTCTTGTTAACATCCACACACCTGGGTGGGTTTTTTTTCTTAAAAAAGAAAGAAGAAAAATTTTTAAAGGCCTTATTACTTCTTTTTATTGTTTTTGTTTGGGTTTTTTTTTAAAGAAAAATCCTTCCTACTTAGGAGGTTTTCATCAAGAAGTCTTTAAAACCAGCTTTGTTACCACCAAAATTCTATTATTCCTTCTATTTTCAGAAAAAGCCCATATTCCCCATTTTTTTCCAGCAAAAGATTCCTATTCTTATTTCCCTCCGCAACAAAAGTTCTTAGTTTTTTAAGACTGCGAGTTTCTGCAGCAAAAAAAAAGACCTATTTCCAGTGAAGTTTTTTTCAGGATTTTCTGCTGCAATTTCTGCATCCCAAAAAACCTTTCTCTTTTTGTTTTTTCCTTCACAACTTTGTGCAGGTTTCTTCTAAAAATGCTCTTATACCTGATTTTTATTTTTCCAGCCTTTCTATTAGAATTTCTGCAATAAACCCCTTCTGTTATGTGCTTTAAAAAAAAACAACAAACAAACAAAAGAAACCCACAAAAAAAAGGACAAAACAAAAACCCCCAAACTCCAAAATTTCTATTGCAATTTCTGCAGCAAAAAGCTTTTCTTTCCCATTTTTATTTTTCAAGCCTTTCTAACTGCATGTTTCAGCAAGAAAAAAACCCATATTTAATCCTTAATTTCTAATTTTCATAAACTTCTACTGCAATTTTTGCAGGAAAATTTATTTCCTCATTTCTTCGAGCTTTCCACTGTGTGTTTCTGTGGAAAAAAAAAAAGGTGTTATTCCCTATTTTTTTCAGAACATTCTGCAGCTTTTTTTTTTTCAACCAAACACCCTCATTCCTTGTTTGTTGCGGAACTTCCTGTTGCAAGTTTCTGCACCAAAAAAGAAGCAGCCTTATTTCTCGATTTTTAATTATTTTTTTTTTTACAATAGAATTTTTACAGTAGAAATTACTGTCATTTCTGCAGCTGACAACAACAAAAAAATAAAACAACAAAGACAAAAATCACCAAAAAAACACCATTTTCCCTGCTTTTCCCAGGTCTTTCCACCGCATCTTTCCGTGGCAAGGAATTCTTCACCGTCTTCCTGCAGAATTACGATGAATTCAGCCACCCCGACATCCACCTCCTCCTTACGGCTTACTTCAACTCCACCAAGGTGACGGTGAGAGCGCACGGCGGCACCTTCGCCAACAGCGTCATCCTTGGCAAAGACCAGTCAGTTTCTCTAGAGATCCCAGGCGACATGGAACTTGTCGGCAGCCAGATTTCGGATAAAGCCGTCTTGATTCAGTCCACCGAGGAGATCTCCGTGGTCTTCATCAGCTCCAAACGTCACACTGCGGGTGCCACCACCGTTTTGCCTGTGGATAAGTTGGGCAACAAATATTACGTGGTGACTCCAGAGGACATCAACCACGACTACTTGAAGGAGTTTGTTGTCGTGGCCGGGAAGTCACCGGCCACCGTTTCCATCAAGGTCTTGGGCAAGTTTTATTACGGAGGGAGGCATTACTTCCCTGGGTCCACCCTCCGCGTCTTCTTGGACCCCTACCACAGCTTCCAACTGCAAAGCAGAGATGATTTGTCCGGCACTAAGATCGTATCGGACAACAACGTGGCGGTCTTCAGTGGACACAGCTGTGTGAAGGTGAACGCAGGTTGCGATTATGTGGTTGAGCAGCTTCTGCCTGTCAGCGCGTGGGGGAAAACCTACATTGTCCCGCCCATCCCCTTGCAGACGAACATTGACTTTGTCTATGTTGTGGCAGACACAAAAGCCTCCCTGACCTACAACAGGGGTAATTCGGCTGCGACTGAAGACATTGAGGCCGAGGGGGTCCACAAGTTCGAGATGAGTGCCAATTTGCCTCTTCACCTGAGCTCGTCGGCTGCGATTCAGGTGGTTTTCTTCTTCACCGGTGCCAAGAAGAACCTGAAGGGCAAAGACCCCTTCCTACTCAACATCCCACCCGTCTCTGCCTACTGCACGTCCTACCGAGTCAGTAGTCCGTCTGGCTATGACAACTACATGAGCCTCATCTCCCGTAATGCGGACACCAGCACCATCACCCTCAACCAGAAGGTGGAGGGAACCATAGCTTGGCAAGCGATTCCCGGCACAGACTTCTCCTGGGCCCCCATCACCATGAACCAACCAGCAGAAATCCAGACCATTGAGCACGAGCATTCGCCCTTCGGGCTCCTGGTCTTTGGCTTCCGATATTATGTCGGTTATGGCTTCGCCGGTCTTTGTGCCACACGTAAGTAGGGCCAACACGTGGTTGCACCTTGCCGAAGGCGGGGTCTTCTCCATGGTCGCCGTTCATGGGGTTTTTTTCCCTTTTTCACCAGCTTCTAATCTGCTTTCCTGTGAAGACCTGGGATGCAAGGACAACTGCAGGGGGTCAGATGAGCAACCCGCATGCATGCAAGAAACCTTCTCAACCTGCTGGGTCTCCGGCGATCCCCACTACAAAACCTTTGATGGGAAAACCTTTGATTTCATGGGCACGTGCACCTACACCTTGACCAAGACCTGTGATTCCGATTCGACCCTGCCTGTCTTCAGAGTCGAGGCCAAAAACGAACACAGGGCTAACCAAAAAGTCTCCTGCATTGGCTCCCTGATCATCCGTGTCTACGACATCACTATCACTGTGGTCAGGGCCGAGAACGGGATCGTGAGGGTATGCAAAAGAAAATAATTATAAAATCCAAAGCAATGTTACGATATTTAATTGGAATAACACAATTAATGATGATCTTAAGGGACTTTTCCAGCCTAAACACTTCTATAATTTGCCACACACGAGTCGGTGATGCTACTGCACGGTCATCTCTTGCAAGAAGACATCTCTAAGCTAAAAACCTCAATTTTTTGCCCAATGCTTGATATTATTTGTTTGGTTTTCATGTTTTGTTTTTGGTTTTTTTGTTTTTTTTTTTTTTTTCTCTTCCAGGTAAACAACCATCGCTCCCACCTCCCCATTTCCCTTGCCCAAGGGAAACTCCGCCTGCAGCAGCGGGGTAAGTCCGTGCTGATTCAAACCGACTTCAGGCTGAAGATCTTCTACGACTGGGACAACCACGTGGTGGTGAAGCTCCCCAGTACGCTCTCCGGCAAAGTGTGTGGGTTGTGTGGCAACAGCAACGGCAACCCCCAGGATGATTCCTTCATGTCTGATGGCAACCTGGCGGAGAACGCTGTGGAGCTGGGCCGGAGCTGGAAGGTGGCCAACGAGAGCCATCATTGCTGGGACACCTGCAACGGCGACTGTGGACGTTGCCAATGGGGTGAGGAGGCGAAATACAAGGGGGAGACGTCGTGCGGGTTGCTCACCCAACACCCAGGGCCCTTTGAGCGCTGCCACGCCACCATCAACCCTGACATCTACCTGAAAAACTGCATCTATGATCTCTGTGTGAACGACGGGGTCCACGTCATGCTATGCAAAGCGCTCAAAGCCTACGCAGATGACTGCCAGGAGGAGGGAATCACCATTTCTGACTGGAGGACACTGGCACGTTGTCGTGAGTAGCTCCTGGTTGGCAGAAAATCCTCCTGTTGGGTGGGCAGGGCGCTGTGACTTTAATTACGGTGCGTGTAATTAAGGGGTGATGGGATGGGAATGAGCAGAAAATAGGAATTAAATGGAAATTGCATCAACAGCGAGGTTTGATTCTCCTTTGCGCTCTTCATCTCCCTAGCCAGGTGAGGCCGGGTTGTATTGAATTAGGCTGCACAAAGGCAGGCCCAAAAGGGCTGTGGATCCCAAGCAAGGTCTGGAAAAGGTTATTGCAGTAAGTCCAAGCAGAAAGGTCCATGCAGACTCCATGGAGACTTTAGAAAGCCTGTGTAGAAAGTCCGGAAAGTCCATGCAGAAAGTCTGTGTAGAAACTCCAGAAAGTCCAAGTCCCAAAAGTCCAAGCAGAAAGTCTAGGTAGAAACTCCAGAAAGTCCAAGTCCCAGAATTCCAAGCAGAAAGTCCATCAAATCTGTGCAGACTCCCAAAATTCTCTGCTGAAAGTCCTGAAAGTCCATTCGGAAGGTCCAGAACATCCTTTGAGACTGAAAAGTCTCGCCTGAAAGTCCATGCAGGCTCCAGAATCATGTGCATGTGGAAGGTCCGGTGAGTCCACGGAGACTCCCAAAAGTCCATGTGGATAGTCCAGGAAGTCCATGCAGACTCCAGAAAGTACATCCAGAAGGTCCGTGCAGAAGATCTAGAAAGCCCATGAAAGTTTTCTTACCACTTTGCTGCACTTTCTTACGGTCAAGGAGCATCATGTCCACCATGACCATGGCGTCCCATCCCACTGTGACCACGGTGTCCCATCCCACTGTCACCATGGCATCCCATCCCACCGTGACCACGGTGCCCCATCCCACCGTGACTACAGTGTCCCATCCCACCGTGACCACGGTGTCCCATCCCACCATCACCACAGCGTCCCATCCCACCGTGACCATGGTGTCCCATCCCACCGTGACCATGGTGTCCTGTCTCTTTACCAGCTCTCTCCTGCCCGAAGAACAGCAATTACACCGCGTGTGGCACTGCCTGCCCCACCACCTGCAACACCGCCGCGATGCCCACTGACTGCGATGCCTCGGCCTGCGTGGAGACCTGCCAGTGCCACGAGGGCTTCGTGCTCGATGCCAACAAGTGCGTCCCCCAGGATGAGTGTGGCTGCGTCTTCGAGGGCCGCCTTCACGGCCTCCACGAGGAGTTCTGGGGCGACAGCACCTGCACCAAACGCTGCGTCTGCGATGAGGACCACCAAAGGGCCATATGCCAGTGGACCAGCTGCCATGCCGGGGAAGAGTGCCGGGTGGAGGACGGCATCCAGGGTTGTTATCCCAAGGCCTACGGGACCTGTGCGGCGGTTGGTGCCACCCACTACGAGAGCTTCGATGGTGGGAAGTTCATCTTCCAGGGCACGTGCATGTACCAGTTGGCTGGGTTGTGCAAGAAGAGAAAAGATCTGGTGGACTTCCAGGTGCTGGTGCAAAACGGGCGCCATGACAATGAACGTCTGTCCTCCATCGCTCTTGTGATGGTCAAAGTCTACGGCAAAAACATTGTAATCAGCCAGGAACACCCCAACAAAATCATGGTGAGTTTAGCAAATGTTTCTTTATCTAATCTCTATGTTCTTCACTTTCTGCTCCTCACCCCAACCTCCTTGGCCCATTTATTCTCTTCCACCTGCACTCCTCTGTAGGTTTTTTTCTGTATTGGGTAATGCTGAGTATTTGTCTCCAACCACGCAGCTGAGGTCCAAAGATACCAGGTCTGTCCCACGTTAATCAAGATAATATTTAACTGCCTAAATATAAGGATCACCACCTGAAGCAGAAGATTGGTGCGTGGTATAGGCTGTGGAGCCTCAGGCACTGTTCCCCTCTAAGTTGGTGGGCATCTATATTTGGGGCAGATGATTAAATCTCAAAAGTCTTCGTCTACATAATTTGGGTGCTTTGGCTGGAGATCAAGTTGCAGGTGGTGTGAAAACACAATTTGCCTTTACTGTTGGATAAAAATGTTGGGTTTTTTCCTTTGCTTTTGTCCCCAGATCAATGATCAGTTGGCTAATCTACCATATCATGGTGGAGATAGGAAGATCTTCATCTACAGAGGTGGGCAGGAAGCGGTGGTAGAGACCGACTTTGGCCTCACTGTCACCTATGACTGGCAAAGCCAAGTCACTGTCACAGTGCCCAGAACTTACGCAAACACACTGTGTGGCCTCTGTGGGAACTTCAACGGGAATGCAGGCGATGAGATGATGATGAAGAACGGCCAAGTGACAGCAAACCCAGACACCTTGGGGCACAGCTGGAAGGTGATGGACGTCCCGGGTTGCGTGGAGCTGTCAAAGGCGGAATGTCCTGCCATGGAGGCGGCTCTGCAGCACCAGAAGGCCTCAAAGATGGCTTGTGGGATCATGCTGCAAGTGGATGGACCCTTCGGAGCTTGCCATCATCATGTGGATGCCAGCAAATACTTCCAAAGCTGCGTGCATGAATTTTGCCTCTTCCCGGACCGGGAGGGGGTGATATGCCCAATCATCACCCGCTACGCCTCTGCCTGCCAGGCCGCTGGTGTGATCATCGGGAGATGGAGGACGAACAATTTCTGCAGTGAGTTGGGCTAATTGGAGGGGGTTTTTTGCTTCGTGAGGGGTCACGAGCATCAAAGGGAAC